TTGTTGTTGCTATTCATTAATTACTAAGATTCTGCATTATGAAGGAAAACCCAGGAGCTGATGTTGCAAAACTCTTATTTTAGCCCAAGAGAAGAGGAGGATCACAAACACTCATAATCCACTATCTTTCTTTTTATTTCTGTCACATTTGTTTACTTTTCTCTTCCTACTAGTCTGTAAGCTTCCTGAGGGCAGTATTTTCTGTTTTGGTGACTGGCACATCGTCTGTGTCTAAGACACTGAACGAATGAGTAATAATTGCATGGATATGTGCATGCACACACTGTAGCATGGGAGAAGGCCTGTAAACACCTAACTTAATACAAGGAAGGAGGATATGTGCTGACCCACTGGGGAGATTTCTCCATATATATTTAAGTTCAGGTTGCAGGTGAGGCAATGTCTTACCTGGCTGGAGAGGTGGATGGAGAGGTATACTGTAAAGAACCTGTGGATCCCATGCCTAGGAATTTGGGCTTTTTACTTGTCTGAAAAGGACGTTAATAGATCCTCACTTCCTCCAGAGAAGTGAAAGGAAATTGGACCAACTGGAGGATGGGTTTAGAGCTGGGAGAGCCAGAAGAAAGGAAAAAGATGTAAGTTGTTAACAATATTCTGAGCAGGAGATGATGAAGGTCTGGATCAATGTGGTGATCACAGAAATTAGAGAGTGGAGAGTTAAGAGGAGAAATTGAAGGGATTTGCATAGAAGAACTGTCAGTTAGAATTTCTTTGTTTAATCCATAACCTTTAACTGTTCCTGATAGATATCTTGAGTGTAATCCTTATTGATGAATTTGCAATTTTTCCTCTTTCAGACTATTTCTGTTATCCTTTGGGTGTCCAGTTACTGTGAGAGTGTCCTGCGACCATACAAATTAAATTTACAGAAAAAGAAAAAGAAGAAAAAAGAAACCAGCATCGTCATGGTAATAACAGAGAAAACACAACTAACAGGCTGGCCGTGGGCAGCTGCTGCTTTTCACTGTTTCTCGCGTGTCCTAAGAGACCTTAGGACCCCATGCACAATTTGTTTTCTCTCCCCAACTTTTTTTTTTTGTTACACACCTACAGAAAAGCTGAAAGACTAATATATTGACACCCAAATATTCTTACCTAGATCACTACTTGTTAACAATTTGACGTATTTACTCTCTCTCTCGTTGAACCATTTGAAAGAAAAGTACAGACTTCATGATATTTAACACGCCAGGATAGAGCAAGGGCAGTCTCCTACAAAACCACGCTACTCAAGCAATTTTCACTCAAGATATTTAATATTGATACAATAATAATATGATGTCCATATCAAAATTTCCCCGTTTATCCCAATTACATCCTTTATAGCCTTTTTCAAAATACTAGAATCCTACTGAGGATCTGACATGGCTTTTAGTTAATCATGTTTCTTTACCCTCCTTTAATCTAGAACACTTCCTTAGTCTTTGTTTTGTCTTTATTTTTGAAGAGTCTAGCTAAGGTTTTGGTAGAATGTCCCACAATCTGGATTTGGCTAATTGTTTCCTTAGATTTAGATTAAACATAGATGCTGTGATGTGTCCTTTTTAGCAAATTAAATCTGCAGGCACTAATGTTGGTATGTCTCATTATTGGTGATTTCTGATTTAATTATTTGATAAAGGAAATGTCTACCAGTAAAGGTCCCTTTTCCCCTCTGTGATTAATAAGTAATCTATGGGATGATACTTTGAGACTGTGAAAATCCTATTCCCGACCAGCCTTTCACTCACTGGTTTTAGCATGCATTGTTAGTGTAACTTGCATGAATCATTTATTACATTGATGGTTCCACAATGGTGATTTTTAAAAATTCTGGCTATCCTTTATCATTTATTAGCTGGCATTATTCTGTAAAATAGAGCTGTCCCACCCTTGTTCATATATATATATATATATTTGTATGTATATTTTTAATATCACTGTCTATTTGAGTATCACTATGGACTCATTCTTTTTTAAATTTATTTTATGATCTATTATCATCATTTTCTTTTGGATGCTCAAATGAAGCATCCAAAATGAGGCAATCCAACTGAAGCATTTCTTTTGGTGAATGGGAGCTACTTTAAGCTGGTTCTTGTCCTTGAACATGTCCTCATCAGTTTTTGAGCGTTTACTTTCTGGAATAGCAAAAATGTTCCAAGCACTTTGTACTTTCCCACTGAGGTGAAATCACACGTTTTCCCAAGGAGCCCTGGTTCTTGTATGGGGAATGGTATTTCGAAACCAAGATCTAGGGTGTTAGGTGTACTAATTGCTATTGGGGTTTCATTGCTTCTAGTTTATGTCAGTGGAGAGAGACAGGAAATTTATTTACACACAAACATGTAGTTTTCAATAGTTCTTACTGACACTGTCAGTTTCAATCCAACATCCTAGTGTTCTTCCTTCCATTCCCTCCCTTATTCCATATTTATAGCTTCCTTTTTGCAGAGTGAGAACCCTGGTTCCCAGCAGCATCAATATATTTATTCATTTGCTGTTTTATAATAAATCCTAAATAGTTTTGGAATTAGTACATCAATTCCACTACTAGTTCCAATAACAAACCCACTAAATTCAAACTTCAAAAATCCTAATTTTTTGCAGTTCTTTTTTGTCCTTAGAGTATGTTCCAGTGAATGTAGACAGTTGAGGTACTCGGTAAAAGCACTGGAATTAAAAACTGAGATTATATTATTAGTGTGATATAAATAAGGTTCATTTATTTCTGTGTATTTGATTTTGGAGATTCCTCCCATCTGATTTAATTTAATTTTTGAATGTGTAAAACATTAATGTAATTTGTGTCCTTTTCATAAGGAAAATTATTTGGGATTCATTCTGTCCATGACATGCTGTTTTATTAATGTTTGAATTTATCCTATCATTATTAATGGGGGATTTTTGTTCACTGTAGCAATATAGTAACCATTGTCATTTGAAAATGTTCATGGTTTTAGTAGTAATATTGACTTCCTGCAGAATTCAGTAATAATTCAGGAATTCTTTAGATTTGACACTGTGTTGGGTGTTACCATTCATTCAGAAACAAAGTGTACTTAGATTTGCATGAGGGCCTAAATGGAAGAAACGTCTCTCCTTCAGTTTCTTGAAGATAATGTAATAATAGATCATGAGTGCAAAGTTTGAAAGTATATATCATAGTTGCTCTGTTACTCACGCTTCTAATGAAAGCCTACACTCCTAGAACTTGACAGATAGCTTTTTGGTATTTGGATTTTGTGGGGTTTTTGGTAGTTGTTGCTTTTCTGATTTCCAAAAGTGAGAATAGCTTTCTTATTTTTCTGATTATCAAAGTAAACTAAAGGTGTGAATAAAGTGAAGATCACCTATATTCCCAGCAACCAGTGATAGCCACTGCAAACAAACCAGAATCATGTTCTATAGAAGGTTCTGCAATGTGCCTGGTTGTTTGTTGTTGTTTTCACTTAACAGGGTATCACAGACATCTCTTCATTTCAGAAAATATAGATGTATCTCATTACTTTTAATGGTTCTATGCCATCCTGTTGCATTAATGTACCATAACTTATTCCTATTGATGAATATTTGGTTCTAATTTTTTTAATATAAATAGTGCTGCTTTAAAATATGGACGAATACACAAAGATGAATTTATAATATGATTTCCTTAGAATATCTCTTAGATCTGAAATTACTATATATGTACATTTTTACATTCCCCAACAGTGTTGTGTCTGTATCCTTACCCATCTGATAGGCAAATATTAGTATTCCCTTTTTTCTAATTTGCATTTAAAAAAATTCTGTTGACGTTGAACCTTCAAAGAAGACTTGAGTGAAAAGCTAGCCTTACTAGTTGATTGGCTAGGTTTCTTGTATTTATCTGTCTTTTTAATTGTATCATATGTTGCTAGTGTTTCTTTGGTGTATTTTCTGTTCTAGTTTTTGCCCAAGTTTCCTATTGTGTAGTAATACTTTTCCTACTGATATGTTTTGAGCTATCAGGCTCTTAACATAACAGTGTTGTTAATGCTCTATCATATATGATGCAATTTTTTCCAGTTTGTCATTTAACTTGAGTGATTTTTTAAAAAAATATAGTAATTTTTTTTAAAAAACAAGTATTTTTTTTAAATGATTCCTAGTTTAGTGTAATGTTTAGAAAGGCCTTTTCAATTTATGATTGCAGAAGTCAATTTTCTTCTGGTGCTTCGATGGATTTTTTTTCTTTTTTAATTTAAGTATTTAATCTATCTGGAATTTATTTTGGTATTTACTATTTTATTTATTTTGTATTTTCAAATGTCTAGCTAGTTATCTCAGTACCAGTCATCCAGTTGAAACCACTGTTTTGAAATGCCACCATTTAAATTCCCTTAGATTCTCCAGTCTATCTTGGAACTTGTTTCCTTTCACTCTTTGTCAATTTACTTATATACCAGTACCATCTGGACCTAATGTGACTTTATAATATACTCCAGTATCTATTAGGGCAAGTTCCCCTTAATTACTCTTTTTCAGAATTTTCTTGGCTGCTGTCACTCATTATTTTTTCCATTAGAACTTAGAATATTTTATTTCTGTTATTAACATTAGAGGAAATCTCAGACATAAAGAGAAGAAATGAAGTCTTGGTTCCTCTTATCTTCTTTAGTGTTCCAGGAGATCCCCAGCCCAAAGTTGAGTAATGACCAACTAAGATATTTTCTGTTGGCTTTCATCTCCAGTTCCCCAGAGTGAAATAAAACCTCATTTTAAAAAAATGGCTTAGGGCTGGCATGGAGGCGTAGTGGTTAAGTGTGCGCACTCTGCTTCAGTGGTCCCAGGGTTCGCAGGTTCAGATCCCGGGTCTGCACTGACGCACCGCTTGTCAAGCCATGCTGTGGCGGCATCCCATATAAAATAGAGGAAGATGGGCACGGATGTTAGCCCAGGGCCAGTCTTCCTTGGCAAAAAAAGAGGAGGATTGGCATTGGATGTTAGCTCAGGGCTGATCTTCCTCATACACACACAAAAATGGCTTAAGTCATCCTTGCTGAGTTAGCATTATTTGGTGGCAATTAAATTTACTTTGATTTGAGAGACTGTTTTATATCCCAAACTGTATCCGTTCCCGTTACTTTTTTTGTGTATGTGTGTGAGGAAGATTAGCCCTGAGCTAACATCTGTTGCCCATCCTCTTTTTGCTGAGGACGATTGGCCCTGGGCTAACATCTGTACCCATCTTCCTCTACTTTATATGGGACGCCGCCACAGCATGGCTTGATAAGCTGTGCGTCGGTCTGCGCCCAGGATCCGAACCTGCAAACCCTGGGCCGCTGAAGCGGAGCGCATGAACTTAACCGTTACACCACTGGGCCGGTCCGTTTCCTGTTACTTTTAATAGCATTAAGTAATGCTGTAGCATGAAATTAGTATAGCTTATGTTGTATAAGCATGAGAAATATGTTTGATAATCTTTCAACTTTTTAAAAATCTTTTTTTTCCAGCCACCTGTCTTTACCAGTTTCCAAGACTATGTTACTGGGCTTCAGACTTTAATTTCCAATGTTGTGGATCATATTAAAGGGCTTGAAACACATCTAATTGCACTTAAACTTGAAGAACTTATTTTAGAAGACACTTCTTTCTCACTGGTAAGAGACTGTAGGCGATCAGCAATTAGTTATATGTAGATATTCAAATGTTTTTATCTTTATTACAAGGACAAGTTAATTTTCAATTCAACATTCTCTCTTCATAGGACTTGTGATTAGAAGGTGCCTGGCAGTAGTTTGTTGTTGTGTTGGTGGTGGTGGGTTTCCCTCTCCCTTCATTTCCCCCTGCCCTTTCCCTCCTTTCTATACGTTTCTGGGGTTGTTCTTTTACTGTGAATACTATTGATGAATTGATGAGGAATGGAGTTAGTATTGACTCTATTTTGAGTGTCAGAGGAAACCAGCCATACTTTTGAGATCCAGGGACAATCTCCTTGAGTGAGAATTTACCTGCTGCTGCGTTGGCTGGCTTCTTTGCCACCCCAGCACTTATCACCTGAGTACTGGACATCAGAAATAATTATGTCAGTCATAATTAGGCTAGAGCAAGCCAGCCCAAAAAGGAATGGAACCAAGTATGGTATCAAGGGTACCAGTCATCAGATTTCTCCTAATAATTATTGTAGGCTAGCTTCTTAAAATTTTGTTGCAAAATCCCTGTATAGTCTTGCCTTTAAAATGTGGATTCTTTAAAAAAATTAAAAGCTTTCAGTCTGAAATAATTGAAGACTTAATGGTGTCAGGTGAGTTAGCAGTCACTAGCCTGGAGTAACCTGGTGTATGATTTTGATAGGAGCCAGAAGGGCAATGGTGGAGCCACCTGTTTCTAGCTAGTTGCTCCAGTGATGAAACTCCGATCTTGAGGGAATGCTTCCCTTGAGTAGTTTGCCTCACCCAAGCCTCTGCTGATGAGGGAATGCCTCCAGTAATCTGAGGGCAGCCATCATCCTAGCCTGAGACTTCTACCAGACCTTCCTAGGGAAGGGAATGGATGGGATCTTGCTTGACACACCAGCTTTAAAAGATTGTAAGCCCCTCTTTTGTAAAGCTTCAACATGTTAGTTCTTTGAACAAGAGGCTTACTGAGGGAAGGGGCTCAGAGCATTTAACATTTCCCAAGACTGATTAAACAAAGCAGACATGCTGAGATGTGAAACTAAAAGTTTGGTTTTAGCCAAATGAAAACTTCAGCTGTTTTCCTATGTACATTAGAATGAATATAGACTTCAGTGGTGATTAGAAATACTACTTGATGCATTATTTAGTTCTTTAGTATTTTTGTCTTCCTTTTTTTAAGCCTTACATTGTTTTGAAAAGTAAAATATGCACATGGTAAAAAAGTGTAAAGAAAGAATATACAGTGAAGTGTCTCCCTCCCATTCTGACCCATTCCCTACTACCCTTTCCGAAAAGGAACCACTATTATCAATACTTTCTTGTGCAATCTTCCTGAGTTAGATAACCCATCTATAAGCATATTATGTCTTTCTATCCCTCCGTCCCACCTCTCGCCTTTAAACACAAGTGATAACATACTATACACATGGTTTTCCCTCTTGCTTTTTGTACTTAGTATCTAGATCATTATAGATGAGTACTTATTTACTTTATTCTTTTTAACCACTGTGTAGTATTTCACTATTTTCTTTACACACAAAATGTATGTTCGTTATAAGAGAATTAGAAAACAGAGAATAGCACCTCCCAGTTCCCAGCCCCAAATCAATCAGTGCCAGTCCCACCATCCAGGTCCATGTTCACCTCTCCCTCTTCTGTATTCCTCTAACACATTTGTATCTTCCATTAGCCTGTATGAAATCCAGGAATTTGGGTACCCAGTAAAGGCCTAATAATTGAATCCTTGAGAAATAGGTATGTCCTAGGTAGAATTCTTGCCTTCTACCTGCCACTTGCACATCACTCTGAAAGGAGAGGGACTTGCTGGTCCTTTTGGAACACTTTTACATACAAAGAAATCTGGTAATTTATAGTAGATTTGGAGCTATTTAACTTTTTACTTTTTAAACCAAACCTAAACTCATCTACTCCAAACTCCCATCCCCTTATAGTGAATACTATTAAAAAAACAAAAATGTAAAATTACAGTACCTATTTAAAAAAAAGGAAAAAATCTTAAAGATCGCACACTTGAACAAATGTCACATTGTTTTATGGGCTTTGCTGGGTACCTTTACGATTTTCAATAAGAAAATAAAAATTTATTGAGCTCACTGTTGTTAGACTAAATGCTTGTAGAAATATAGTGATCAAAGACCTGGGCGTAGAGAGATACATACAGATTACTTAACTAAATTGGAAATATGATATAGGCACAAAAATCTGAGCGAGTCAAAAAGAGTCTCACTGGAGAGGGGATGTTTGAAGATTGATGAGTTTTCACCAGGCAGACAAGAATGGAGGAAAGGAATCCCAAGCAGAAGGAGGCCCAGACAAAAGCACGGAGGCAGGAAAGTGAATTGTGTGGGGCACCTTGAGGCAGTCGGCAGAGCCAGAGCACGTGGTATGTGGGAAGAACTGGCAGATACAAGGGTGATAGGTACAATAGCCCTGCTGTTGAGACTACTGAGTGGTGGTTCTTGTTAAAAGAGCTATCTGCCTCCTGAAATGAGGTATAAGATTTCTCAGTTTTGATTATTGTAGAGGTTATCCTTAACTTTGGGCTACTCTCTAGATTATTCAAGCCCTGGCTCTGTCCTCATCTTTTGACCTTGGGAAAGTCACTTACCCTTTCTGGGCCTCAATTCCTTTATCTGTAAAATGCAAGTCATAATAATACCTACTTCATAGGATTATAGTGAGGATTAAACAAAACAGTAATGGCCTTATATATTGCCTACTTGTGTTAAAGTCACAATACATATAATATACTGAGCAGCACCAGCCACCAAATATAGGATCCATATAGTGCTGGGTACTTTCTTTGGGTAAAAAAAAAAAAAAAACTCTTCAGTTTAATTTCCATTATTGTTCATTTCTTTTTTCTTTCCTTCTTTTCTTTCTAAACTTGAAACACTATGAATAAGGCCTCTGGACTACTACCTCTGGTCCTGGTCCCTCTCCTCCTCCCTAGAGGTATCCACTGAAACTGGTTGTGTGCCAAGACCTTTTTTTTTGCATTTATACTCATAGAGCAAATACACAATACTATTTGTATCTTTTAAAAACCATCTGGTTTTGGGGCCGGCCCGGTGGCGCAAGTGGTTAAGTGCGCGCGCTCCGCTGCAGCGGCCCGGGGTTCGCTGGTTCGGATCCCGGGCGCGCACCGACGCACTGCTTGGCAAGCCATGCTGTGGCGGCGTCCCATATAAAGTGGAGGAAGATGGGCACAGATGTTAGCCCAGGGCCGTCTTCCTCAGCAAAAAAAAAAAAGAGGAGGATTGGCAGATGTTAGCACAGGGCTGATCTCCTCACAAAACAAAAAAAACCCATCTGGTTTTAATGTAACTTTATAATGTACTCTAACACCTGTTAGGTTTTTAAAAGTAAATGATACACTATTTTATTCTGAAGCTTGGCTTTTTTTCACTCAACCTTTTTTTTTTTTTTTTTTGTGAGGAAGATTGGCTCTGAGCTAACATCTGTTGTCAATCTTCCTCTTTTTGCTGAGGAAGATTAGCCCTGAGCTAACATCTGTGGCCATCTTTCTCTATTTTGTGTATGGGACGCCACCACACATGGCTTGATGAGTGTTGCATAAGTCCACGCCTGGGATTCGAACCTGCAAACCCTGGGCTGCTGAAGCGGAGCATGCAAACTTAACCACTACACCACCAGGCCAGCCCCTCACTCAACCTTATATTTGAGAGATCTGTTCAGGCTAATGCATATAGATCAATCTTGTTCTTTTAAACAGCTGTATAGTATTCAAAATATGAATATACCATAGCCACTGGACATTTTAGTTTGTTTCTGTACATTTGTTTTTATGTATAGTACTGAATGAAATGTATTTGTACTTACCTTCTTCTTTTTTTCTTTTTTTTTTGTGACGAAGATCAGCCCTGAGCTAACATCCATGCCAATCCTCCTCTTTTTGCTGAGGAAGACTGGCCCTGGGCTAACATCTATGCCTATCTTCCTCCACTTTATATGGGACGCCGCCACAGCGTGGCCTGACAAGCGGTGCGTCAGTGCGTGCCCGGGATCCGAACCCGGGCTGCCAGCAGTGGAGCACGAGCACCTAAGCGCTACGCCATGGGGCCGGCCCCTGTACCTACCCTCTGATGCACATGTTGGGTCATAAGCTGTGCTTACCTGGTTTCTTCTGGGCTTTGCACAATACTGCCAACTTCACGTAGACCTAACCAGTTCTCAGCCAACCTCCTTTCTGTGTTTGAACACTCCATCCCCTTTACCTTTTGTGGTCTCTACCACAGGTCAAATATGCAGCAATATTTAACTCACCTATTTGAGTAGGCTTAGGAAAGCTCTGGTCTTTTTTAGTTGTTTGGCCTCTGGAACCCATGGACTTTGTCAATATGGAGGGAAACCTGTCAATATGGTAACTAGAAAAGATGATACCAGTAAATTGATGCCTTTAAAAAGTGGCTGTGGTAATGTCTAAATTAATAATAAATTCTACTTTTTTTCCGATGAAACTAATAATCAAAAATCTCAATTTTTCCACTTTGTACAGCTCATAACAAAATAATAGTGATTATATATCTAAACTACTTAGTAATAATTGCCTACCTTTTTTCTTGATGAAAAATAGTAATCAGAAATCTCGGGGCTGGCCCCATGGCTTAGCGGTTAAGTGCACGCGCTCTGCGTTGGCGGCCCGGGTTCGGATCTGAGGCGCGCACCGACGCACCACTTCTCTGGCCATGCTGAGGCCTCGTCCCACATACAGCAACTAGAAGGATGTGCAGCTGTGACATACAACTATCTACTGGGGCTTTGGGGGGAAATAAATAAATAAATAA